GGGGGGGGACTCCCATATGAAACAGACGGGGATGCTCGTCGTCTCGCTTAGGGGTGTAAATTTTGGATTCTGGTCTCGCTTAGGGTCTTCCGGGCAAAGCACCAATATTTTAAGCCGCCAAGGTCTAGTTTAGGGTTCCGCGAAGAACTTGAGATTTATGACAATGCTTTTAAAAACTACTTTTAGATAAAAGCATTCGATGATTATGTCTTTATATCATTAAAACTCATTGCATGTCGTATTTGTGTGTTTTTAAGCGGTCTCTTTTAGGGGTCAAAATTTGCTTAAGTAACGCCCAGATTGGTCTCCTTTAGGGGTTAAATTCAAAATTTCCGACGAGCATCCCCGTCTGTTTCATATGGGAGTCACCCCCCCCCCCCCGGGGCCAAGAAATAGCCTCAGGACTTGATTAGTCCTGTGTATTTTCTCTCGGTCTTATTAGGCCAAAGAATTGAAAAGAATGTCAAGCAGAGATTTGTTTGGCTTTACGAGGACCTTTCTAGTAATCACATTATTCAAGATCCGCTTATCCAATAACTATGGGTCTTATATTATAGTCGTATCATGATAAGGCCTCTTGTTAAATTGTTTTAACTTTGTCCTATGGTGAGACACCGAATTCATTTGATGACAGATTTACCGTGTGGCAAATGACCTTTTCTAGATGCCGGCTCTAGATATGCTAGCTAAAGATTGGCATGGACTTTCGGTAGAGTTTAAGTAGGCATTCTCCCATAGCGCCATGTCGCACCAGAGTGTTATGGAGTAATACGCATGTTTTTGATAAATATGGTGGCGTCTGAAAACCTGAATTATGCATACCGGTCACCCCGGCTTTTTTCGCTAGCATTCCGACATAAACATCATCAATCTTAAACTTGGGTATAGTGTCAAAAATATCCACAAACAAACGCACTACATCTCTCGATAGGATGAAGCCAGGCCCAGCGCAGAAGTTTGGAAAATGGGTCTCATTGTATTCCTCTCTTGTAACCAGCCATTTACCCTTCCTTTGAACGACAGGATTCTTGTAAACAAACCCCATATAAAGCTTTTCCTTGGGTGTGGATGACTTGTTCAACAGGTTGAGGACGGCGGGCATATTGATAAATACATCGTCGTCTGCTTTTAGCAGAAATGAGAAACTGCAATATCGATCAGCCCACTCGAATCCCATTTCTATCTTGAAGGTTTGATTCCAGTAGTTTTCGTAGTAATCCGCTCGAATTAAATCACCGTAGAACTCCTCTTCGCGCTGTAGTTCCTCTGTATAGTTTTCACTCTGTCCCAGCAAAAATACCGTCTTCCATCGGCTATTTAAGAAGCTATCAGATGCCCAAGTTTGACGGATCAATACCCGCTGATTAAAATGTGCTGGTGAAGAGGACACTACAATAAGGAGAAAGTAGTGCCGATTGCAAGTTGTCCTTGTTGTCAATGTAGTCTTATGTGGTAAAGAAGGGTCTACACTTCCTGTGGTTGCAGCAGCGGTAGCACTTGTAGTCTCCCTATTTTCTGCAGTTGCTTTCGTTGGCTCGGTCGCTGGAGTTGGTCTTTCGAGCCGATGGCCCTTGCTTTCTGTCGTTCCCGGTACTAATTCAATTTCAGTATAAATTTCCACAGATCTTAGCTGTCTAGAGCGGCCCTGAGAGCCAGAGGTTTCAATTTGCCATGACAACTGCGTCCAGTCTCGAACAAACAGGGTGATCATCGCAATTGTCACAGTCGCGTACATCAAGCTCACCACTTTCTTGACAAAGCGTTTATTGGCGCGACTGAGGTACAGCACAGGCGAAGGCATTGCAGAAGTGCCCAGCTGTTCGTCCCTCAATTGAAACTTGCCGTCTTCCTAAGAGGTGTCTTATAGTAATGGCGCGCGCCAACAGGAATGTTGACTTAGACGACTTGCCCGTCTAAGATCAAAATTGGATCGCTTATCCCCGGCTCTGTCAACTGATTAGCATGTTTTTGGACGGTGTTTTCAGCAGAAATAACATTCAGTGTTCCGCATCTCGGATCAAATATCTTTTGGCAACAAAGTCGAAAGTTTTCAATATCGCACCGATCACTGAGTGTTCTCAGCTAATATCTGAGTGTTTTGTTATGTCAAAGATGGTCACTTCGTGGTTACGCACGCAAATTGCATATGCGGAAAACCTTTCCAGCAAAATTCCCACGTTTTTCCGGTATTTGAATTTTAGCTTTTAACCAAACAATTACTTAATCAATTCAAGTGACTTCAGTTAGATTGCAAGTAATTTTTTGGTGGGGAGTGAAGTCTTGGCACACTTGAGATGTTTGCCAAATCTCTCAACGCTTTTAAGCATGTTGCCAAGCAATTCTATACTGGCCGACCGATACTATGGCTACGCAAGGAGCAAAATTCCTGGATTGACTAAATAAATTGCGAAAGTTCTGGTCCTCGTTGTGGGGGCAGGTTTACGAAGGAAAACAACGTACCCGCAAATATTTGAGGCAGAGTAGTAGGTTGAATTTATTTCCAGCATACTAATAAAGCCGTCGCATTTCATGCTCGCTGGAATTTTCTTGATTTTTTTTGAGCTCAAAAAAATAAAAATTTCAAAGGGAAGATGCGGAAATGTGAAGGCTATACTTCGCAAAAAAAAAAAAATTACCCCCGGGATAAAAGTAAAAAAGCCTCTTTTATCCATCTTGTAACAGGACATAGTAAATTAAGTAGAATAATAAACATAAAGCTTGTGAGATTTAATTTTTCTTCGATAGGTCTTCGGCCTTCAGCTTCGTCGCCTCCAACGTTTAATGTTCCGATCCTTTCACAGCCAGTGTTATACTGACCAATAGAATCGTCGATTCATTAGATATATAATTCAGCCATATGCTCGATAATATGTGATCAGTAAATAAGAGATTCTGATCGATCAGAGAGCCCCCGCTCCCAAGAATCAACTGGAAAAAATCAGAAATTGAATACTGACTGAGGCGGCTTTGTTCGCACCATACCGGAGAGCTTTCGCGCCGGCACGAAAATCATAACGGATTCTATTCACACATAACAACGGAAAATTTTGGCGCGATTTCTGTAACGGAGCGAAGCGGAGAGTCACATATCGAATAAGTCATCGGTTCATACTATGCCGGATAGCTATCTGGTATATTGTGAAAATAGCCTGAATATCGCCTGTTTTGCTTTAAAATATCTCACGTGCTGCCATATTTATGACGCTTCGACAAGAATATACATTCCTTTGAGGCATGGGAAAGGACTAAGACTTGAAGAGGAAAATGGCTGATTTTCGAATCAGTTTTTTGTCCACTTTAATCTCTTTTTACTGGCTGGAAATATATTTAACAATTTAAAAATACCTGTAACCTTACACTTAACCAGTAGCCAGTGGGCTCCTGACTTAACTGATCAATTTCCATTGATTAATCAAATGCATTTACGGTTTTTTAAAGGTCAAAGAGCTACTACGGTGATAAAACAATAAAAGTCTACTGTTAAAAAATGAAAACAACAAGAGATCTTGCACTCTCAAAGTTACATGGCTAGGAAAAAAAACGATTGAAGTTATTTTAGCGTCTAACGCTTAAGGAGTAAAACTTGGCCGTTAATTTGGCCGATAATATTTAGTTGTCTTGGAGGTGTAAAAGCCTGTATACCGTATTCCTCGAAAAATAGCCTGGGGCGATTATTCGAGGGAGGCGATTGTTTCATATATTGAGTTGTTGGAAGTCGTGCCCTTAATATTTTGTTCTATTTTCCCATAAAATCAAAAACTAATCACATCAAAGAAACTGAACATGGGCTTTTCAAGTGTTCCAAATTTTTTTCCCTGATTAATTTTAATTTGTCAATATCCTTGGCATCATCACTAATCAGTTTTGCCTGATCAGAACTCCTTTTCAGCCTCATTCTTCAGATTTACCGCTATGGGTGCTCGATACCGGGTTAGCTATAGTGGTGGGGGGCGACTATTCGAAGGAGTTGAATATTTTACATATTTTCCGTGAAAGGGGGGCGATTATTCGAGGGAATACGGCATACTACAGCATGTATCAACATCGGTCATTAGGTCAGTTCCTAAATGCTATAAAAGATTTAAGGCTTGCAAGTGCCACTTGTAAAGAAAATTACGAATTAAATGAGAAGTTATTTGTAATACCAATTGGTAATACTTTTGTGATCCTTGAATGAAGTATCTTTCTCGATCTCTCATTGTGGACCATGAGAAATCCATATTTGCAATGACAATTACCATGATATATTTTGGGATAAAATTTCTATGAGAGTGAGAGGCATCGATGACCAAAAATCCGGAGTAGCTCCGTGAAAGGGATCAGGAGACCGTCTTCTTGCCTCTTCTTCGCTCTATAAAAAACAAAGTTAGCTTGGCTGTTGAGATTTTGATTAGGCAAACAAAAAGTCTCGAAAGTAACACGCTTTGTTAGTACAAGGCTGCTATTTTTTTTTTCTTGTAACAGGAATTTCCGCAGCAGAATTGAAGCTCACCCAATCTCGACGGACCATTAAAAGTTGACTTCACCTAGTTACATATTTTTAACGGTCGAGCTATACAGCTTTTCAAACAAACTCATTTGTCATGGGACTATGAATGATACTGCTAATTCTATTTTTTGATCTTCGAGCTAGGTAACCTGAAGTAACTATGATCACTGGTATCTTCCGGCCCCTACCATGAATGTTACGCTGCTGGCATGCCAAATAATTTAAACTGAACGCCATCCAGATCGAAACAGATGGCGTTTGGTAATTGGCTGGCGCTTGTCAATTTTAGCCTGACAGAATGCATGGCTTTTCGTGCGTTTTTACATTAGGCCTCGTGGTAATATCAGTTTCTTCTAAAAATAATGTATAAATGTTTTTCCTACTAGCATTTTGTCTCCACTGGAGATGCTGGCTTACTGAAACTTTGATTCTTCGTATGAAACGAAAACGGATGCTCGTCGTCTTGCTTGAGAATGTTAATAGCATTCTTTTTGACGCATTTAGGGCCTTCATCACGGAAGAATTGAAGAAAAAAAAGGAGAAAAAACGGAGCGGTGACGGTGAGTGTGACGAATTATAAGATACGAATTCAATATCCAGTTTAATATAACCTGGATGACGCTGTGATTATTAATGATTCATTGCAGTCTATTAATAAAGAAACAGTCTCACTCAATTTCTCATCAAATGGCTGGCGGTTTCTAGATAGATTGAACTAACAAAAGGAATCTCACGTGGTCTTAGTTCAGGGTTAGTTTCTCCTTTACGTCGAGTGGCAGTTCATCATTCAAGCCTCTCTTACCAATTTAATTTGTTCCGGTGTATTGAACCTATTCATAAAAAGTCGTTTTGTTACATTCTTTACAGGGGTTTCGTCATGTTTTTCAATTAATTCAAACAATGCTTTTTCGATTACAAAGAAAAGGTGGAACATTTGTTTCAACCCTTTTTAGAGTTTGAGTTGAAATACTTCGGAACTAGCATGTGTATTGGTGACATGGTGACCTTTTTGTGAAAGTGGCATTTATATGTTACCAGTTCTAATATAAAGCTCTTAGTCGTTTCAAATTAAAATATCGTGACTTTGTTACTTTCATCAGTCGGTTAATAGCGGACTAAAACTAGCGTCATTTCTATTCTTTTTTTCGGAGCAACCCAGTACATGCAACTCGCTTATTACATGACTTCAATTGCTTAATGTAGGACTGGCGATGTATATGACAACTTCCGTATCATTGAACTAAGCGGAGTTCTGTCTAGGAACAGGAATGCGCACATATATTTTAAGAAATTATTTTGATCGGGATCTTGCAGCCATTAAAATTCTTAGTCACCTAAGGGGTTGCAGCCGGATGCTAAATGGAATGTGTAGACGAAAGATAACCATATAGATTGCATTTAAAGTTACACCGTAATGTTTCAAGTGGCATCTTCATAGCAATTGCTACTAGTAGACCGTCGACTGCATGAAGCAATATTGCTTTTCCAAGTAAAATTGACGGCGACATTTTACCTTCTCGGCTTAGCCGTTCCTGAAGTGGAACGCAACACATTAGTTTAATGCATCGAAATCCTCGTTAAACAAGGATAAAAATTAGAATGTGTTTTTACTGTTACCGAGTTTTGTGCTTTTTTCGGTTCCCAGCTCATATTTGAATGTTTTGCCGTAATGCTAATTTGTTTTCAAGAACGTTTGGAAGTATCACGCGATCGATTTGTACTGTAATACAAGGATACTGGTTTCTGCGACTGGGTTTGTTTAAACTGCACTTAAAAATGTTTTTTTTTTGACGACTGTATAAAACTGTAATGAAAAATACCCTTTATTTTAAGAACTTTGTCTAGCCCTAAAGAGAGATGTGTTACACTAAAAGTATTTTAGTTCAATATTTCTCTAAGAGGTTGCGTTCAATATTGATCTTGTTTACTTTGTTACCTGTGTTACCTCAAGCCCAAGGGCAATCAAAGTTTTGAGAGTTCTTAGTATGAATGGCTAACGAAGAGAGCGGTCAAGATCGTTTTATTCGCTGCAACATTAAGAACTCCACTATCATGATGGGAAATAAAACGCCTTTATCGCTCTGTTTTAATGATGTTGTTTCAAAAGCCTTTTCTTCATCGAATTTCTCCCACATATTCTTTTCCTTAAACGCAGTATTGGCTTTCTGCGATTGTATTCACTTTATTGTAAAATTAAATAGAGTCTCTGCATGGACTGGGAAGAGAGAGAGAGAGAGAGAGGTATGACTCGTTAGTCCGTTATCTTTCTGGGTTTTGTAGTGTCTATAAGAACGTGAAACAGGCTTTGTTGA